AAATTAATAATTTTAATAATAAAAAATAAAAATATTTTAAAAAATATACTTATTTATTTTTAAACATGTTCTTATTAATCATTTAATATTAAACAACAACTGCTAATTACTGTATAGCCAAACGGTTATATTTATTGAATCTGCTATTTACCATTCGCTACTTACTTTCCGTTATTCGCCATCCGCCATCCGCCATCTGCCATCCGCTATCCGTTAACCGTCACCTGCTACCGCTATTTGCTATCCGTTATCCGTTATCCGCTATCCACTATTCTCTATCTGCTGAATTTTAACCGTTGTACCTAATAGCCCATAGATAAAAATTTGGTTTAAAGAGAGATTAGGATGAATTATAGAAGGAAATGGAAGCATTGAGAACCATTTTGTTTAAATAATATGCACTTTTTTTCTTCTTTTTTTTTTTCCCTCTTTTTTTTGGGGTTTTGAGATGGTGGCACCATGGGTCAATTTGTGCACAATAGACCAAGTTTTTGTTTAGGCCCTAGGATGACCGAAGATGCATAACCCACATTTGAGGAGGGGATTTGCGGAGAAAAAAGACTTAAAGTTCCCGAAACCAAGTTGGAGGCAAGAAATCACAACCACAGAATAATAGGAATAGGAGTGTGAATATGGTGCACAAGAATTTATTAAGTTCATATAAATTATATATTTATATTTAGCTTGATTAATCTTTTATTTGTTTATAATTTTTTTAATAATTAATTATAATGTTTTAAAATTTCAATTTATTTGTTGGTTTTAATTAGTTAAACAATGAATATTAATTGTTTTAATAATTATTAACTATTCTTACTCAACTAAACCAAACCAATTTTTTTGAAGACAATGTTAATAAACAAAGAAATGTAGTGTAATTTAAACTGTATTAAATTACACTAATTATTAGGTGAGGGTAAGTCTCTTGATATTGAAATCCTTTCTCATCTAATAATTTTTTTTTTAATAATTTGATATCATTTAAATTATAAAATAAATTATAATTAATAAATTTGTCTAGCCTTAACAAATTCTTATTTAGTAATACAACTTGTAACCCTTCAAAATGAATGCCGTCCAAAAAAGAAGAAAACCAAAAAAACCCCTTTAAAATGAAAAAGGAATTCTTCAGAGGAATCAGAAGTTTTTCTTTTGAAGAAAAGACAAAGATAGCATTTTACTTGGATTTGTGGAAAAAGCGAATGGCAAAACCTACAAACAAACAATTCCTATTATACAGAAAGTGCAAGAAAGTCAGAAGGATATGATGCCTTTTCAATTCCACAAGATTAAATTTCCTGCTTCCTCATCCACATCCCTCTAACCAATGTTTAATTGGTAATGTGTGTCATCCCAAAAGAAGAAAAAAAGAATTGATTTCAAATGATGTTGTCAACCAAATTAAGGTAGAGAAATTGACTTTATACACAACCAGGAGATGCGTGTTGGTAGGGGATAATCCCACATCAACTATAGTTACCAAAGACAATTGGAAGTAATGTTTACGTGGAGAAGTTAGTAATGGAAGGTGCAATGTGCATGCAAGGCAATGTTTATAGACCTTATCCATCTTCATTGAGAGCGGCTAAAGGCGTTTGATTGAACAAAATACGTTTGTAATGACGAAATTGCATTTCAGAAACCAGTATTTAGGAGCTTGTTGTGTAATACACCAGAATGTTGACCAAAGAACGATCCTTTGGGGTTCACAGTGCAAAATTTTGAAGAGAACCCAAGAACCAACTCTAATGGACAATAACAAATACAGAGAAATCAATTCCGTTGACGCTTTCAGCTATCATGAGATTGACGTAAATGGAAGTACAAAAAATGGAACATGGTCACATCCGTGGTTAAAGAATGTGAAATGGTGCAGGTGGTAATGTAGCCAATTGACTGGTTCCAAAAAGAGTCTTCTGAAACAAGAATGAGAGTAAGACTAATGCTTACAGTCTCCACACAAAAATGGATTCAGTGCTTCAGCCATGTCAGAATGGATGACATTGATTCTCAAACATATGTTCTTCAGACTTAACATCTGCGTGATGCTGATGTGGTCTTCTTGTTTTTAGGCAGATAAGCAAACTGACTGAGATCCAGACTAGTAGATGATCTTCAATGGACAGAAACCAAGTCATAAATCATGAAATGTAGTGACATGATTTGCAATGGAAATAGTGTATGGCATAGGTTTAGATTGAATTACCTATTGGTAGAAGTGTTTCTGACATCTTTCAGAGGGGGACGAAGTCCACTAGCACGAGAACCAGGTGAAGTGAATCTAAATGATGATATTACTGATACAAAATTTTCCATTGATTTCTGTGCTATGTCAGAGTAACGGTCTAGATGTGAAATGTTAGATCCAAATTTCCCTCCGGCATTCATCTCCACAGATTTTTCCTCAAGATTAGGTTCGCAGTAACCTACAGGTAGAAATAACAATTAGATGGATGTTCAACATGATTCAGGATTGATGCATGGATAAATTACTTTGATTCATGTTTGGAATTTATGAATATGCATGTCTGTTAATAAATATGACATTAATATTCAATGGTATTCATTTAAGTATCACAAATTGATTAGCTGGTTAGCAGTTTCAAAATGATGAAAAGAACACCATATTAGTTGGCAAATAACTTAAAAGTTTAAAACTAGAGTTTATGACAGTGCTGAGGCTGCAAGGTTAGTACATACCATCATCATTATTAAGAGATGCATCGACACGCATATTCTTGGGTTTAATGTTTTCCTGAAGAAGTTAAAATAATTAAAAGCACCAAATAAGAGAAATATCCTTATGAAACCAGAAAGAAAAGCAGAATGTGAAATCACATACCATTTCAAAACGTTCTGTTGGAGAGGTCTTCCTCTTTATGGTTGCACCCTTGAAAGAGCTAACATTGGGAACATCAAAAACACCATGCTCATGCATAATTGTATCATCCTCACTACATAGCTTTTGTTTATTTTCTAGGTTAGTCTCATTCACTTGCTTATGCTGAAAATAACAACTCCTTACAATGACCTTTCTGCTTTCTGTTCTTGCTTTGCTCACAACTGCATCTGGCACATTTTTACAATCATATTCATTTTGTGATGCTGGAAAAGGATTATTTGTTGGCTTGCCATATTGTCGAAGGATAGTATCCTTTGGACTTTTTGTTGCATCTGCCATGTCTTTCATTTCATGAAAACACAGAAATAAAAAATAACTCATAGTAAAAGACTGGAAATTTCAAATCCAAGTTACTGGAGCCTACAACCTTACCATTATCTTGAGATTCTGAACACTCAAGAATCTTGAAAGTAGATCCGTTTTCCACCTACATAAAGAAAGCACAAGTCATGAGAATTTGACAATTATGTATTATCAACTATGTTTGTTCTAACTTCAATGGTTGGCACTCACAGAGTTGTTAGGAAAGATCTTAGTCATATTTTCAGAATTGGGTGAAGATGACAATGAATTATTTATTTCACCAGAAACAGCCTCCATGTTGACATGCTCCTCAGGACTAGGAGAAGAATCAGCGGCTGGACATGGATGCTTGGGTGATACCCTAGGAGCCTTGAAGTTTCGCTTTGCCTCAAGAGATGCAAAACCTTAAGATGTTAAGGATATTATCCAAAGAGTACATGCCCAAGAAAATGAATTATCTCGGAAAGGCAATAAACTGAAAATAATTAATGAATATTTGGCCCTTTGCGCTGCCATAACCTGTTACAATGACTTCATATCCATTATTGAGGGCAGGTTCTTGTATGGTAAAAGTTGTTCTCCAAGGCAGTTAGGATGAAGCACTCAAGATGTAATTAAAGTTGAGTAAAACAAAAAATATTTCTAATCATGAAATAAAGTAAAGCTAAAGGAAAGTAGGAACAATGGATACAAAAATACTTGGTAAGGAGATTCTTCTGCACAGGTAAATCTAGCTTTTTCCTTTCGCCTAAAGGTTTAAAACTTTTTGGGTGTGAATTTTTGTCAAGCACCAGCTGAGAACTCACAGTACCAACCTGTTAGTTAACAGAAAAAAAAAGAGTAGTTGCATATCTTTAGATATCATGATGATAAGTAATTTTACTTAAGAATTCCAAAAATGAAAATATGCCAATATTCTAAAGATAATAGCAGACTAGTTTCACACACAGACTAATGCATGGTAGAAAACCTGCATCAGAGTAAGTGAGAATTATGACAGAAAGAAAATATACCTCAAATTGCATTTGGGTAAATGGATCAAGATCACCTTTTGCTATGCCTTGAGCTATATGTTGTGGCATCAATGTATTTCAAATTAAGGCATGACAAATTAAATTTCATGGATGTTACTACTTAAAATAAGATTATTTAACTAATAGAAGGAATTCAGAACAAAGGATATGGGCCTAAAAAGTCCAAATCATCACCAATATCACTGGTTATCTCAGACAAATGTACAATATCTTCAGTGATGAGATCATAAACCCGTTGATGCTGGAAAGTCAATAGTGCTTTCCTGAATGATTCTTCATAAAGGGGAGGGACAGAAACACTGCTGTATCTAAGGTGTTTAATTACCTGAAAGGATTTGAATCAGCACATGGTATATAAAAGAACTCATTCAAAAAATTGATAGAGATGTTAGAAAATAAAGAAAGCTACATCCAGTGCTTAAAACTATTGTGAGCCCTTACTTCATCTTTCTCTTCAAACACTTCCTAGTTTATTGAGTTAGAACAAATGCAATTTTTATTGACAACTATTCTGAAATTTACCTTGTCATAACTCTTAAACTTTTTAATAAGTGCATGAGCCTTTTTCAGGCCCATTCCTGGTAATGACTGCAAATAGTCACAACCACTTAAAATGCACATCTCAAGTAGCATCTGCTTGGTAAATCCAGAAAAGCTTAGCTCCTTGTTCTGCTGCAGCGTAGAATGTTTAAACTCAACACCCTGCCCAAATTTGTCCATTTTAAAGATAACCTGCAAAGCAGGACAATATCCCACTTAAAGAGTCAGATTGTACAAAAGCAGAAAACTTTGTAACTTTTCCACTGAGACATGGAATACATAGTTCAGAATCATCGACAGGTGGAGAACTCACCCTAGGACAGCCAAACGGTATGAGATCAGAGTCTTCTGTGATAACCGCATCAACCTGTTTGCTGAGTGCCAAAAAAGTCATTTGGGCATCTGCTTCATAAGGAGCCACAACATAACATACACTCTCCTGCTTCAAGACCTTGCCACAGGCAAACCAAGTCAGCAGAGAAGTAGATGATGTCACAGCATGGGGAAACCATTTGAAATTTCAAATTTAAGGTCTTCTAAAGAGTTAATATACCACAATCTACTTCAACATTTCATTGCTTACCTGGATTAATTCATGTGCAATTGAAGGTGAAATATCAACAGCTTTTTGGTAGCATTCATAAGCTGCTGAAGAATTCCCACATGATTCATGCTCAATGGCACGTTCAAGATTTTCCTTCCTTGCCCTGAATTTACGATGCAAAATTCTTTAATCCACAACAGGTCTTTAGACAATCGAAGAAATCCAATAGGTTGTTAGCAAATCATTCAAGAAGGCCAAACCAAATAGAGCAAACAAAGAAACCATGTAAGATGGTCAAATAGCAATGGATTGCCCATATGCAGTAGACCAATTAGTGCACTCACACACTCACACTCATGCATACACACACACACGCGCGCGCGTGCACGCACACACACACGCGTGCGCGTGCACGCACACACACACAGAGTTCAAAAGAAACAATCAGTACTAAGAACAAGAGGAAACAAGTTTGTTCTGTTGTTCAATATCCAGCATACCTTGCACGCTTGTTCTCTTGTTCAATCTTCATCGGCAAAAGACCACCATCAAAGACAAGAACAGGTTTAGCACCATAATGCCGTAACAAGTTTACTCTATGCATGCAGTACTCTATGTGCCTATGGGAACAGACAAGAAAACAGCCATGCTCCATTAGAACATAACCCCATGGTACAAGAGAATAGAAGTGATTACTTTCATCCTTGAATTCTTTAGTTTTTTCTTCATCATTAAACTGGCTTAAGCAAAACTGGATGTTTTACATTGGGATGACATTAGAAGTCAATAAAATTTAAACTTTGCTACAAAAATTAGGAACTTTCATCTTCTTCTTCTTCTTCTTCGTTTTTTTTTCCCTAAAAGGAATGAACTTCAAGATTTATTTATGTTTTGGAGTATTCAATGAAATAAACAAGTAAACTAAGCATGCAGAGGTTGGAATACAATCCTGTTTCAGTAAAAATGAGTTTGTACATTGCAAAACCACTAGAGGCCATTTTAAAGGAATTTCTGATTTCATGCCACAGTTTCCAAGAACCAGGCAAACACCTCCTAGCAAATCTATAGCTACTTAAAAAAAGGATTTTCTTTTCATCTGGGGCATTAACAACTGCATAAAATCATAAACACAAGCAAACCAAAATCCCGATTTCCCAATTTAATAAATTCTTGAAAACTTCCACTGAAATTAGGACAGAGATAAATAGGAAACAAGCAACTTTTCGTGGCTTAATGCACAGAATCGCTAATACAAGAATACCCATTACCTTAATTTAACTAAATATTGAAATATCAATCTAACCCATCAAAATCCATGACAAATTATGCGGATATTTCATGCAGAAATTACGAGAGAAAGAGGGATTCCTACCTGGAGGTGGCTAAACCCTTGCAGAGCTCTCTGCTGCAAGACAATGCCCCTTTGTGGAGCCATGAATAGGTGTCGACAGCTACAGAACATCCTTGAAGGTCTTTGATGTGAATCGGCACCATTATGGATTTCAATAGAGGCAAAAGCCCCTGAATCCCCATCTTCTTCTTTTTAAATTCTAACTCTTGTGCCGAAATCTTCTACCCATTATCACTTCCACCCATTATCATCGTTTATACACAGAAAATGTCAATTAAGGGGGAAAGTCGGACTTGCGAGGGATGGCAAAATCCCCAAAATTTTGGCGGGGAGATTCCGGTTTCATGTTGCGGAAACGGGTCGGGTCGGATCCGCGCTAGATTTTTTTAAAATTTAATTAATTAATTCATTATTTTTTTTTTTTCAGTATCAAATTCTTTTTAATTAACTGTTTAGATTCGTGAATCATAGGAATTGAATTGGAGATAAGGGGTTTCTGAAATTTCCAATCTTGTTCAGAATCTTGTTCAGAATCTTGTAATTTGGGGATTTCTTTATTTTCCTAAATTTGAAAAAATGGTGAAAATGATGGTTTGGGGGACAAAGGGCATCAAAAACCCCTTCTTTTTCCCTTTCTTTCTTTGAATTTCCAGTATCAGGG